ACATTCCTGCCTCTGAACTACTTCCCTGTGCAAATATTGCCCTTCTGTTCTCCCATGATTGATATCCTAAGGAATGTATCTACCTGATGTAAAGGTTAACCCCATATGCCTGTGTATTGTTTGGCTGGAAGCCATGGGAGTGAGTTCAATTTCAGACCTGAAAGGTGGTCATAGTCTCAGGGGTCACACCAGGTTCTATGAGACCAATAAGCCTGGTCTTTTTTTTTTTTTTCAAGATTTTGAGTTTTGTTCCACGTTGTTCTCCCACTCTATCCAGGATCTCCTGCACTGATCTCTTTCTGAATGGTTGACTGTGGCACAGTGATAGCTAGGCACATCTAGTTCTTTTGGTGTCATGATCACGTAGGCTGAGGATCACGTGGTCTACTAGTCCCTTGGACTGTTTCCATGCATCTTTGGTTTTCTTCATTCTTCTTTGCTCTGGACAAGGAGAGCCCCAATATTTTTATCTAGATGACTGTTTGCAAGCTCTTAAGATCCAGTTGCTACTCACCAAAGTAGGATGTAGAACAATGTTTTTGTGTAGTATGTTATGCCGATTGAGCTCGATGTTGCCTGCGATCATGGCCCTGAGCCCATAGGTCCAACAATTTGCTCCAAGAGGGTAGTTGACTGTGCCTAAGAAGTTATTATAACTTTGCCTCCTGTTAGCTCTAATTACTATATGGACATTCTTACAGCACATACAAATACATATGTGGAAATATCGTCTGCCAAACTTATATATGATCATAGGTATATTCTCTTTTGCCTAGACATACCTGATCATTCAGCCTGACTACCCATCTATTCACCCAAAGCATAGACAAAGTTTGTTATCCCTGATAAAGCAGTTTGTACATGTAAAAGGGTTTATTTTTGTTGTCTGTACCTCTTGTGCACCACTCTGTGTCTTCCTTTTCCTTAGTGTTATTGTATTATTGAAGGAATAATTGCATTTAATGAAATGAAGGAACATGGCCTCTTAAGAGAAGATGCAGAAGTATTCTCCTTTGTAGGAGAAACAGCCAGTTTTTATTTTGTAAAGTAAACAGAAAAGTTTCACATCAAAGAGAGGTGCAGGTAGAGGAAGGAAAATTTACAAGGTGTTGTCAACAACAGTTCTTAGCCAAACATTAATTCCTTTTGTCTTGATACAGGAGAATTTGACTAAGACAATATTTCTACGATATGGAGTTCTTGTGGTTGAATAATGTTGTTGTTGTTGTTGTTATGTGTGGTCGAGTTGACTCATAGTGACCCCTCCTTGGGTTTCCGAGGTAGTATCACTATGGAAGTAGATTCCCCAACCTTCCTTCCCAGGAGTGGCTGGTTGGTTTGAACCACCAGCCTTCAGTTAACAGTCAAGTGCCTTAGGCACCATGCTACCAGATCAGGTCAATTCTAGTCCTTGAAATGGAAAACCAATTCATTTGGTTAAGAAGAGAAGGTTTTCTGGTACACCATCAGATCTGCAACCTATACAACTATGAGACCAGAAGAACTAGATGGTGCCCAGCTACCACTGCCATCCACTTGGAAGGGATGTAGGAGATCCTGCATAAAGAGGGAGAACAATGTGGTACAAAACTCAAAATCATTTGGAGGCAAAAAAAAAAAAAAAAGAAGGTGGGGACCAGGTTTGCTGGTCCAATAGAGCCTGGTGGAACCACTGAGACTATGGCCCCTAGCTGCCCTTCAGGTCTGGAATTGAACCCACAACTGTGGTTTCCAGCCAAACAAAGTACAGGCATGTGAGTTAAACATTTACCTCAAGTAGACACACACCCTGGAGAGAACAATCATGGGAGAAGGAAGGGCTGCTTATGCACAGGGAGATAGCTCAGGGTGCAGAAGAGTATGAAGTGATGGACACTGGGAGGAGGTAACTATGGGGAGGAAGTGGGAGGGGAGCTGCTGCATTGTAAATTTTGGTCAATGACATGAGACAAAGTATATGTGAACTGCTGTATGAAAAGTGAATTTACTCTGTAAATCTTCACCCAAATCCTAATAAAAAAAAAAAAAAAGAGAAGGTTTCAAAACTTCAATCTGAAGCCTTTTAAATGTAAAACATTATTTACCTCAGTTGAGGGAAGGAGAGAAGCATAGACAAAGTCATTCAGTGATTTGAGAGCAAAGTGTTTAACAAACACTAAACAATTTTTCATCTAGGTTAGAAATTCTGATTCTTGTCTTTGTTACTCAAACAGTAACACCTTGACAAAGGAAAAGGCTGACTGACTTTCTTTAGAAGAAAGGTAGAAATGAACATCTTAATTTAAAATGGAGTTTCAATTTAGATCTGAACTCACTTTATTTAGTTATGCTAGCACCCTTATTTTTCTAAGATTCACTACCACAATATCCATCTGTTTTCCATTGCATCGATTCAGTGGGAGTTTAGTTTTCTGTGTGCTGGGGTTACCTCAGATTTTTCTTAAATTCGTTGATTTGCCAAGCCATTACTATAGAAAACTTGATTCAAATGGGAATATTTGTCTATTAAAGAAGCAAGTTTTATTTCAGTCAATCAAAGGGTTGTCCAGTTTTCAGATTATCACGAAATATGAATAATGAATGTGTGAATCTTTAAAAAAGTCTAGACATCAGAGGAAAGAACTCTGGTGGTGCAGTGATTAAGCACCCTCAAACCTATCAGCTGCTCCATGGCAGAAAGATCTGGCAGTCGTCTCCCATAAAGACTGACATATTGGAACCCTATGGGGGAGTTCCACTTTGTCTTATAGGGTTGCTATAAGTTGCAATTGACCTGACGGCAACAGGTTTGGTGTGTGGTTTTGGAAGCACCACGGAACACAGACTCTATGCCCCAAAAAGAAACTGCCTTAACCGTATACCAACCCAGGCAGGGCAAGCCAGGCAGATGACTGAGCCAATCTGATTCCATTATGAAAGTTATTATGTATGTAATTTTCTGCTATATCCTAAGAAACTCAGAAAAAAATGCACAAAGACTTTTAGCCCCATTTCTGTTGTGGTATTCCTATGTGGCCTTGGTCAGGTTGCATACACTCAGTTTCAGTATTTTCACTGTGGCAGGCAGTGTGTGTTCACCAGACTCCATTACCGTGTCTCCCCAGACACACAGCTGGACTGTTTCTGAATCTCTTTTAAGGTTATTTGGGGTCACATGACTGAATTTTTTTAGTGGAATGGAGGCAGAAGGGATGTTTGCCACTACCCGGTCCTTGCCCCTAAAAACACTCTTTCACACTGTTTTGTGCTTTCTCTCTCTTTTCTCCTCGTATGCTGGCTGAATGTAGAGAATCCAATAGAAGATTACAAGTTCATAGGAAATTGTGGAATCACTAGATGGAAAGAATTTGGATCCCTGAGTAATTGCATGGAGCACTGACATTTCCGCCTAACTTGCATTAGACAGTGACGTGAACAAAAGTACATTTTTTGTGTTAAGCTACTTAATTTTGTAGTTGTTATTACAACAATAAATCATCCAAAATTCTAACTAATAAGTAATTTATTAAATCTCATGATATTGTTGTTGTAGGAACAACAATGTCCTCACCCCTTATTGTGTAAAGCCAATGATCGCAACAGGTTGAAGTGGGAAAACAAAAGGTTTAGTCAGTATTGATACCCAAGGAGACAGTGAGAACTGCTTCTCTAAAATATCTGTCTCCTTGAGCAATGGGATAAACATAATTATATAGGGAAACGGGAAGGGACTGGACTCTGGACTGCCAGGAATGTCTTTGTTCTCCTTTTTCCAGTGGTTACTCCCAATGTGGGGCCCCTCTTCCCAGACTCAGGGTCCTTCTTTCCAGGGTCATCTCGCTTTGTGCACTATGGTCCTTAGCGGAAATGAGTCGTGTGACAGGGTCGTGTGTAATAGAAGGTGTTATGGAAAATAACAACCCTAAGAACGTATAATTGAAAATAACAAACCTAAAGAACTCAGTGTCCATGAAAATAAAAAGGAGGGGAAAATAGCAAGTTAGTTACTATGATTAAGGTCTGTTTTGATCATGCCTGTTAGTCTGTTAAAGTTCTGCAATTTTCAGCAAGGGGCCTCTTCAGCCTTCCACTTCAGCCTTCTACATTGTGATCCATAAAAAAATAATAATAGATGTTACTCTGTGCTTTGTTTTCCTCTAGCAGTTTCTTAGAAACTGACTTCATGTAATTACTTCTGAAAAGAGCTAAAATCCCTACAAGGAAAACCCCAGTTGACCAGCAGTGATTCTCACCTGCTGGGAGAATCACAGTGAATCATGGCTGACGTGTGTGCCCAACAGAATATTGTGGAAGAAATAGCATGTGACTCCAAGGTTAAGTCATAAAAAACATTGCAATTTCCTCCTCGGTCTCTCCTAGACCACTCCCTCTGTAGGATACAAGTTGCCATGCCATGAGGACATCTAAGCAGCCCTATATGGTGAGAAACTGAGACTGGCTGGCTACCAACAACCAGAACCAACTTGCCAGCCATGTGAGTAAGCCATCTTGAAAGCAGACCTCCAGGCTCAGTCAAACCTATGGATAACTGCAGCCCAGGCTGACATATTGACTGCAACCTCATGGGAGTCTCCAAACAAGGAACACACAATTAAGTTGCTCTTCAATACTCAACATACAAAAACTGTGGGAAATAATAAATATTTATTTATTTTTAACTTACAAAGTTTTGGAGTAGTTTGTCATACAATGTTGTTTGTTGTTGTTATTTGCCGTCAAGTCAGACCCGACTCATAGTGACCCCTCCTTGGGTTTCTGAGGCAGTATCACTATGGAAGTAGATTGTCCAAACTTCCTTACAAGGAGTGGCTGGTGGGTTTGAACCACCAGCTTGCTGGTTAGCAGTCAAGTGCCTTAGGCACTACGCTACCAGAACTCCTTGTTATACAATAGACAATTAAAATAATCCACAATACTGCAGTTTGTAAAAATTTCTAGATTCCTAATGGCTCTCATCCTCTATTTGTTCTTGTAACAGTACATGCAATAAATCATTCTGTTCATCTCCAAGTTATGGAAGGTTGTATCAACCCAGTAGCTAAAAGGATATGAGGTGGAATCATTTGGTAATGGCAATTTTTAAGAGCAAGGCTGAAAAGTGTTGGCTGATGCTGACATCTTGAAATTTTTAAACAGGATGGAAGATTCTGGAATAAAAAAAGAAGTTAGAGTAATATTTTTATTAATATTATTATTACCCCAAATATATTAAAATATCAATTGGAAGACCAGTGAACTACTTCCAAGAAAATCCAAACAGGATACCTGCTCCTCATTAGGAAAACACACATCAATATGGGAATGAAGAATATCTGAAATACTGTGGAGCCTGTAAGTGTTGTAATGATAATAATAATTATTATTATATGGAATTAATATGGGGTCCATATATATCTTAGACCAGTGTTTCCATTACCTATGCTTATTTCCCTCCCACAAAAGATTGTCTTAACATTTTCTTAAAATAGGTCAACTAGTTAAGTAACTAAATCTCAATATAAATGGCAAAGAGATGGTAGTGTATCAAAATTCTCAAGAAGGAAGTCTGAAGCAGGATGCTTTCTTTTGCATCAGAATATTTGTCTCTTAAAGCAACTCACTAGAATTATACAATGGAGTTCCAGAGCGTACATCTTCCACAGAGGTGGGTATCTTGGCCAGAGAACTTCTTCCCCAGGTGGGTAGTCAACAAAATTCTTCCAGCAGTGACAATACTCTAAGGAAACACAAATCTCGCTTCATTCAATAAGTATACAACAATAAGTTATTTCAAGAGAACTCCAACTCAAAAATGTATCATATATATATATATAACCTTCCCGCCTATTCACTGCTAGAGATGAGCTAGGCTAACCAAGTGGATTCTGACTCATAGGGACCCCCATTGGGTTTCTGAAGTGCTAAATCTTTTCCTTCCTTGGAGCGGCTGGTGAGTTTGAACCGCCAACCTTTTGGTTAGCAGTCAAATACGTTAGGCACTGTGGCACCAGAGCTCCTTTAGGCATCTCCCAAATCCCTGAAAAGAACAAAGTAGTTTATTTAGAAAGAGCCCTGGTGGCACAGTGATTAAGTTCTCTGCTGCTAACCCAAAGGACGGTGGTGCAAACTACCAGCTGCTTAAAGATGGCTGAGAAGCCACAGTGACTGGAGTGGAGACAGGAGTCTTATTTTTTATACTTTCCTTGCTATGAATTGCAGACCTGGTAATTTCTCACCTTATTCTGGATTTTCACTTCTGAGACCTCTAGTCTGGGATAACTAATCTCCTGATCTAGAAAGGGATATTACCATTAATATCTCTCAAAAACACTTAAGATTGTTTACTGTTTTTACCTGAAACTGTCATAATCTGGAGAGTTACACCACTGATAATGAGGTCCCTGAGTCCTTGCCGGTTTTGCTGATCTTGGTGATGAAAAAGCCGTGCTACATAAATAACCAGAGTCACATTGGGGTGTTCCCTCAAAAAGTTTCTAATAGCATTGGAACATTCCCAGCAGGGACTCCAGGACAAGAACCAGTTGATGAAGCAGCTGACAGATGGGCTAAAATGTCTTTCTGAGGTAAATTTTTCTATAAAATTGATTTCAGCATGTTTGGTTGCATTTTGGCATGAGTTTCGCCAGAGGTTGTGGCTTGTACCCCACTTGATTTCGTAGAGCAGACAGGTCTCTTTACGGAGTTCTCTGGGGTCAAAAAAGATTTCAAATTCCCAGGGTTTGATTCTTCTCCTGAAATATAAAAAGCACCCTGATGTTGTCATGCAATCTCTGGAGGGATCTTAGGAATCACTTCTAGGCTCCCTTTCCATTAGGCAGTTCTACGTCATAAAGTCTCAGGAAGCATGTTTTTCTGTTCTACATCTCAAAGTCATCTGGGGAGGTCCATCAGAATTGTCATTTTCTCTCACAGTGAAAATGTTTTTACCCCAGTCGTGTTATTTGATCCCCACTCTCTATATAACTATTGCTTTTTGTGTGTGTGTGTATGTGCGTGTGTGTGATTTGGGTGAAAATTTACAGAGCAAATTCTTTCCATACAGCAGTTCACATACACTTTGTCTCATGATATTAACTACAATTTACGACAATGCAACAGCTCCCCTCCTACTTCCTCCCTATAGTTACCTCTTCCCTGTGTCCATCCCTCCATGCACTCCTGTGGCTTGAACTGTCTCCTTGTGCATAAACAGCCCTTCTTTCTCCCATGATTGTTCTCTCCAACTAGTGTATCTACCTCAGATAAATGTTCATCTCATATGCCTGTCTTTTGTTTGGCTGGAAGCCACAGGTGTGGGTTCATTCCAGACCTGAAGGGCAGCTAGACGCCATAATCTCAGTGGTTCCACCAAGCTCTATCAGACCAGCAAACCTGGTCGCCCTCTTTTTTTTTTTTTCCAAATGATTTTGAGTTTTGTTCCACATT